AAGAACTGCGTACGGACAAGACTGTGCATACACATGGAGGGTCGCTGCAAGACGGTCCCCTACAAGGTCACGCAGTCTCTCGTCTAACCCCTTTACAATCCCCAAAATCACGGGCTCGCCTCCAAAAGGTAAGCCCGTGATCATAGAGAAATCGTAAGGGGTAACCGTCATCACTCCCCATGGGAAGTGAAAAGTGTTGGTGGAATCCCACCAAAACTCCAATAGCTCGCGAAGGAAAGCCAGTGACGGAGGTTGACTCGATAAATCCCGAAGAGCTGCCAGAAAGCTCTATCACCTCCTTCACTACCTCGGTAAAGTCTCAAACCGACCCCTCAAGTCACCCGAACCGTATAGGTGCATGCTAGGCTCACTCTGAAAAGACATTCGATTATGACGGGTCTAAAAAGAGAAACGAAAGAGAAAACAAAAGAAATAAACACAAGCTAACCCCAAATCGAAACATGCCCATTTAAGGACCTGCAGATCCCAGTTGGGAGGAGCCTCGCAAACCAACTCTTCGTGACGACGTCGCTCAGCACCGACGCGTCGCTCCCAGCCTTCCTCAAGAGTGCGTGTCACCCTCTTTCGAGGGAAAACCGCCTCGTCAGGAACTAGTCCTCGAAGACCTCCCCAGCGTCCACAAATGGGGGAGAGTCCATGCTACGAACAATAATCAACCGATGGGATTTCAAAAAATTACACGATTGAATATGTTTTCCAAAATCCTAAAAGAAACATAAGGACATATTCTAGACCCATTTCGGTAGCATAACAGCTGCAAAAAGGGGAAAACATTAAGTCGAATGCCACCCAATACTTGGGGGCTACGACACTTGCAATTGAACTCAATACATAGAGGTTCAAACGCCCATAAAGCCAACCTATACCTGTTCAACTAACCATTCTGAAGATTATTTCTAAGAATCTTGTAAGTTAATAGTTCGTGGATGAATAAAAATCACCCAAATATAGTTATCATCTACCAAACAATTATTTTGAAGCTTGAAAATGGTAAAAAAAAAATAAAAAAAATAGAAGAAACATGCGTTTCGCGCCATTTTCTCAAACTTTAAAATTTTCAAAACATGGTTCATGAGCATAATTATAGGCATAACACTATAATTCATCTCATAATCAACAAGTATAACCAAATGAGCAAGCAAAAACAACAAACTCGAGCTAGAAATCAAAGAAAAATGCGAAAAAACGAACATAAATAACACATGCTCGTACAAGGTTCAATACTTAGCCATTTTTCATGAAATTTGTTGCAAAACACTCCATAAACATAGTATAACAACATGGAACAAGCAATTTCAAGAATTATGGACCGAATCGAAAACCCCCAAATTCAAAATCTAGGGTTCTTCAGTTCGAATTTCCCCAAATTCGGCCAAAAATAAGCAAATATAACGAGAAAACTACATTGAATTATGGCAAAAAGGATTTGGGTACAAGATCTTCCTTCTTTAGCTCTAAAAAGCAACAAAAATCGAGCTTTGTAACGAGAGAAAGGAATGAAAATGGCGACGAGAGGAAAGAGAAAAAGCGAACTGAAAATCACGCTTCGTTCTTCTTTTTTTTACTGATTTAAGTGTCGTGCGCAACTCTAGAAGTTGAGCGTGACACCCCAGCGCAACACATAAACTTGTGCGCGCTTGGCCAGCGCGACTTACTGAGTTGTGCGCGGATACTAATCACTTAAAAGACCGGTATCCGGATTTTGATCCATTGCATTTAAAAATTTTCAAATGGTTTTGTGCGTTGTTAGACGTATTAACGCGCGAATTATCAAATTCCTTTTAAAATTGCTTTGCATTTTGTAGTTTATTTTCTTCTTTGATAGTTTTTTACATCATCCTGCATGCACACCGTGCTTTGTGCCTGCCCCAAGCATACATTTTTGATGTTTTTTCTAAAAAGCGTCTACAAAATATCCCGTAGTGGTGCTTTACGTAAAAGCTCCCATAGACATTTTGCATTTTCTTGTACTGTCCTTAAAGAAATGTCACGTTTTTCGTATTTTTGTCGTTACTTATCAAAAATACCGCGTACATACAGCGTAAAATTATATGGCGTATGTTCTGCATAAAATTGCACTAGCAATGTGATTTGCCTCCCGTAAAAAACGGTAGAACCCCTGTTTCTGTTAAAGGCGTTAACTTAATGAGTCGACAAGGCGCGCCGAACCATCGGGGCTAGATTACCCCTGTTGGAAGCAAATACGGTTAGCTTGAAAGTTTTCATGCTTTACAGGACATTTAGGGTGTCCGACCACCCCCCTGTACAAAGAGCGGCCCCAACTGAAGCTGCACCTATTTAGACACATGCTCTTAGTCCTGAGACGCGTGTTTTCATCTTGTGGACAAAACTGCTGAGAGAGTTGCCGATTTTCTTCTCTCTAACTAGATTTGGATATGTGCCTCCAGTCCTGAGACATGTATATCCATCTTGTGGACATCGAGTATCTGTTTTGGCAGCGTATATCAATCTTTTATTCAAGTGTTCGGCTACAAATGCCGAAGCACCCCCCCCCCCCCATTTATCATCTTTTACTTTGTTAAAATCATGGACTAAAAGTTCCAATGATAGATTGAGGGACTTTAGACTGCCAATGACATATTGAGAAGGATTATCCCCTTCTAATCTTTATAAAACCCGGTACCTTCTCATAACATGACTTAGGACAACCTTTACTTGTAAAAACGTTCTACACTAGCAAAGGGTCAATCTAGATTCTTTAGCGCAATAAATCCAAAAAATACCTTTTCTGGTGTTAGCAGCTACAACACTTAGCAAATCGAGACTAGTTTTGACATTCTCAACACTACTGAAAGATTCCTTATCTTTAAAGGAACTTTGCAAAATGAGTCTTGGATTTATTTCCTTGGCTGCTTTGATCATCGTCTATTCTAGACTCGATCAAAGTGGGGGCTAACTGTAGACATCTACTTTTGGTCCCCTGTCCCGACTGGAAGTGCTCTGACGATAAATAATTCCATTTTTGTGCTGGATTAGAGTAAAGAATGCTATGGACTACTGATTAAGGCTTAAACACATAAAACTAACTAGCTTGACCCAAACGAAATGAACCAAGCTCATTAACACTAAGACCGATTAGAAATTAGGCTTAATCCCGAGATTAAACCTAATTTCGGACGGATTTAGAGCGCCTAGGTTAAAATCTAGGGCTGCCTCAGGAAAATCCGCGCGCAACTCAAGGAGTCGCGCTGGCCTGGCGAGTGCAACTCACAAGGTTGCGCGCGACATCCAACGCAACCCTCAGAGATGCGCTCGCGGAAGATTCAGAATTTCAAAAATATACTGAATTGAATCTTACCATAAAGCCACGCGCAAGACCTGTGGTTGCGTTGCCATGAGCAGCGCAACCAAATCACTTGCGCGCAGCAACCGCGCGCAATCTTTAGAGTTGCGCGCACCACCTGCTGCGGTAGAATCTCTAAAACCCTAATCTCATCCATTCCCTATAAATAGAGGTTCAATACGACCTTTGAACAGACAGAAAATTAGCCTAAAAGCCAGCAGTAACATCTTTGTGAACTTATGTAATATCAACCCTCTTGTCCTAAACACTCACCCTTTAATTGTTTTGTTCTTACGGTGGAGGTTCCCCAACAAGAAGGAGTCCATAAGTGTTCTAAACGAATATCTAGCAAGGAAAAGTGGTAAATTCCCGAGCACTTAGATAAATCACATTACTTTCCTTATCCTAAATAGCTTTAATTAATTAATTAGTGTTGTTTGATCACTGTAAAAAAATTTAATTAATTAGTTTCACATAGTATTCTTGCGTTAATTAAAGACTAGAATTGAATAGTTAATTAAGCCAAGGCGAATCTTGTTTTTTTTTTTTTTTTTTTTTTATATATGTTCTTTTCACGAATTTGGAATAAATTAGAATAATGACAATCGTTGCAATGTAATTTTTATGTGATTGACGCGTGTAAATAAAATCAACTAACTTAATTTTAGGTACCACGTTGCATATATTGTTTGGTGATGAAATTGTGAAAAAGGAAGAACTAGTAGAGGCTGCACTTGGGTTAGGATAGCGATTCCTCTCTAAAGGGAACATTATTTTAGTACCCTCGCTCCCGAACTCAATTCTAATACAAGTTGACCAATTTGGGTATAGGTAAACTTATGATTCATGCTAAATATCCCTTGAACTCTAATTGGGAGAAAGACATGAACGAGGTTTATGAGTTTTCCTAAAACTCATTGGCAACTCCCTATTAGTTTCTTACAAAAAAGCGTAGAATCAATTATAATTCAAGGTCCTTCAAACAGTCAAGAATTCAAATCCTAACACACCTTAAAAAGTGTAAAGTCCTAAGCTTTAAAGGGCCATGCACATAGAGGAAGTGGGACTCCCAACGATGGGCACACCCTCCTCACAGCTATCATTCTTTTAAGTACTTGGACTAGCTATTACTACTATACACATGGGAAAGAGTTGATAATACCAATATAGGCGACAATCAGCTTAGTTATTTGTCATCACTTCAAAACCAAGGAACCTTACACGACTTTTTTTTTTAAATTTTTTTTTTTTTATAAATACAACACTTTCTAAAATGAAAATACTATTCGCTACTCCCTCTAGTTTTTTAAGTGAAAAGTTTGACATTTTGTACTATTCACTTTATTTAATTTGACTAGTGGTAGTGATTTATATATAAGAAAAGTATAATCTTGTTGGTACTTATAACTATCTCAGTGAATATTTTATTAATGTTCAATTATTACTGATAATTAAAAATGTTATTAGTCAATTGTTTCAAAAAAAAAATAAAATATTATTAGTCAATATTTTAAATTGACAAACATTCCGATAAAAACATTTCACTTAAAAAAAATTGAATTGGGCTTTTTATTATATCTACGTAGTATTTTTTTTATGGACGGGATACTCATTCGTTTTCTTACGTGTCTAGGACCAATCTTTCACAGTACAATAAGCATCTTGCATCTATTTTTCATTTCTTCCAATTCCAATCGTCAAAAATAACAACCTTCCCATCAAAATTTAGGGTTTTATTTAGGACAGTATACTCCACTTTCACTAACTCATTCGCCACACCCAAATCTCCAATCTCCCTCTCCTTCTCTCTCCACTCTCTCTCCTCCAACAATGGCGGACGATTCCACCCCACCTCCACCAACATCCGAAATGTCCAAAACAATCATTTCCGACACCCCCACATCCTCCCTTCCCCTCGCTCGCTTCTCCAAACGCGTCCCAATCGCCAACATCCTCAGCCGCCCCGACGGCGGCGCCTCCCTCGCCGGCCAAACCGTCATCGTCGGCGGCTGGGTTCGCACCGGAAGAATGCAAGGCCACAACACCTTCGCCTTCCTCGAGATCACTGATGGTTCTTGCTCTGCTAATCTACAAGTTATGGTTGATGCTTCTGTTTACGATTTGACCCGCCTTGTTCATACTGGTACCTCGGTTTCGCTTTCGGGTACGCTTAAGACCCCGCCGGAAGGTACCCGGCAGAAGATTGAGCTTAAGGTTGATAAGGTATTGGAGTTGGGTCCTGCTGATCCTGCTACTTATCCTTTGCCCAAGACTCGGCTTACTCTCGAGTTTTTAAGGGATCGTCTTCATCTCCGGCCGAGGACTAATTTGGTAATGTTTTATTTATCTATGTGTATGTTTGTTTGTTTATTGCATTTTTTGTTGGTGTTTGTTTGGTGGGTCCTGTTGAATTTTGTTTTGTTTTTGTGGGAGTGATTTGCACATTTGCTTCGGACATAACATTGGATGAGTCACTGAGTGTTTTGCGTAGGGCATCGGCACCGCCTTTTAATGCATTGATTGATTCGGAACTTAATTTTAAATCTTTATATTGCGCTGGGTGTTTTTCGGGATGTTATAAACAAATCAGTGAATGTGGATTTTATGTTATTGTGTATAATTTGTATCTTTTGGAATGTTTTGCACATTTGCTTTTGGCATAACATTCGACGAGTCACTGAGTGTATTGCGTAGGGCATCAGTACCCCTTTCGCTGCATTGATTGATTCGGAATTTAAATTGAAACCATATTTTGAGCTGGCTGTTTTTTAAGATGTTATAAACAGAACCTGTGAATGTGGATTTATGTTATTGTATTATTTGATTTTTTTTGGAATGATTTGCACATTTGCTTATGGCATAACATTGGATGGGTCTCTGAGTGTTTTGCATAGGGCATTGCCACTCCCTTTAGCTGCATTGATTGATTCAGAACTTAATTTTAAAGCTATATTTTGCACTGGGTGTTTTTTTCAGGATGTTATAAACAGAACCAGTGAATGTGGATTTTATGTTATTGTATATTTTTTTTTTGGAATGATTTGCTCATTTGCTTATGACATAACATTCGACGGGTCACTGAGTGTTTTGCGCAGGGTGTTGCCACTCCCTTTAGCTGCTGCATTAATTGATTCGGAACTTAATTTGAAAGCTGTATTCTGAGCTGGGTGTTTTTCTAGCTGTTCTAAATAATAATTAGTGAATGTGGATTTTATGTTATTGATAGTTTGTATGTTCTTTTATCTGATGAAATTATGAGAATGATAGTATTCGATAGAGTTTTACTTATTTTCATTTTGAAGGAAATATGATGGGTTAGCTTTGCATTTGAATTGTGATTGATGGACCTTTATTAGGGTTATGCAATCTGGTGAATGCTTTGCATTTGTGGTTATTTTTTTGTTGCGAAATTGCAAGCATACTTGTGTATTACAATCACAATCTTTGGTTTAAACTAGATTGGCAGAACTTTTTACAAAAGTATGAGGAGCAAACAAATTTGTTAAGTGGTATGACTACTTTGTTGGAAAAAACAGAGTAAAACTAAAAGGGGTTTAAAAATAAAAGAATGATCGTAGTGATGTCTCAGTTTATAGCAGGTTTAACGTTCCTGTATATGGCTGACTAATTTTTTCCGGATGAAAAATATTTGTGAAAAAATTGTCTGGAAATATTTCTTACTTTGTTTGTTTAGCAATAGACCAAGGAGTTCTTAGTGAGTGATTCTAATGACATGGCCATTTCTTTGTAACAGATATCTGCTGTTAGTAGAATTCGCAATGAACTTGCATATGCAACTCATGTGTTCTTACAAGAACATGGTTTTCTGTACCTACACACACCCATCATCACTACTAGTGATTGTGAGGGTGCAGGTGAGATGTTTCAAGTCACAACATTGATTAACGAAGCAGAAAGAGTGGAGAAAGAGTTGAAGGAGAACCCACCTCCGTCAGAAGCTGACATTGAAGCAGCAAAGCTTGTTGTTCAGGAGAAAGGGGATGCTGTTAAGAAACTTAAGGAAGACAAGGCAAGCAAAGAGAAAATTAAGGCTGCTGTTACAGTATTATCTAAAGCTAAAGAGGATCTTGCCAAGTTGGAAGAGAGAGCTAACCTTAAACCTGGGCTTCCCCAAAAAGATGGGAAAATAGATTATTCTCAAGATTTCTTTGCTCGTCAGGCATTCTTGACAGTTTCAGGACAACTGCAAGCTGAATCTTTTGCATGTGCCCTTGGCAGTGTTTACACATTTGGGCCGACATTTCGTGCTGAGAACTCTCATACTTCCAGGCATCTTGCTGAGTTTTGGATGTTGGAGCCAGAAATGGCATTTGCAGATCTTGAGGTACTTTCCTTCTTTTCCTTTTCGGAATTTAGTGCATGTCCATGAATATTGTATGTCATGATTAGATTTGTTTTGTTCAATTGAGCAAAACCTTGGTTTTATCTATTTTTAGAGCAAAACCTTGGTTTTATTGAAACTCAAGATGATGATGATGATTTGTGATAGACATGCCTGCCATAATTTATTTATGTTCTACTGGTTGATTAATTATTCATCATGGCTAAGTCTGCATGTATGAAATGCTAGATCTCTTGTAGTTGTTCCTGATTTGTGCACGTGTATAACATGAAATCGACTTTCTTTTGTTTATTATAATTTTTCTCAAGTGTGACTCCTTAAGTCATGTTGATACTCACTAGTTTTTAATTCTTTAATTGGGCTTATTTGGCATCGTTTTTTGTTTTTCAGTAACAAAAAACCAAAAACAGGAAAAAACTAAAACAGGAAACAAAAAAGTGTTTCCACTTTTTTGTTGTCAGTTTTCAAAATGATCATGATTTTAATAAATTTGACCAATTTTTGATTCATTATGATTTTAAAAAACAAAAAACCAAAAACCAGGAAACTACAATGATACCAAACGAACCCTTGATTTTGAATTTAAGCTGCAGTACTCATTGAATCTGCACTGCACTACTTCACTTTTTTCATTTTTTTTTCATTTCTTTATTTTCTTAATCTTTAAATTTAGTGTAAGGATTGTGAATGTTATGTGTATTTTTTATTTTTTTTTAATTATCTGCTATCCATGAACTCTGCATGCAATGTTATATGTAAGATTTCACAAAAGATTCTAATAACATTGAACTTATTAGTGGTTGCATTCTCTCCCAGGATGATATGAACCTTGCAGAGGCATATGTACAATTTGTTTCTCAGCGGTTACTTGACAAGTGCCTTGATGATATGGAATTGATGGTGAAATTTGTAGACAAGACTGCAATTGATCGTTTGAAAATGGTTGCTTCAACTCCTTTTGTGAGAATTACTTATACAGATGCAGTGAAGAAGCTCCAGGAAGTTACAGATAAGAAATTTGAGAATAAAGTTGAATGGGGGATTGATTTAGCAACTGAGCATGAAAGGTATGTTAATCTCTGTTTGTGTGAATTCTCTTGATGGTGCGAAGGTTGATATTATAGTTAATCTTACTCTGCAGATACTTGAGTGAGGTCTTATTCAAGAAGCCAGTTATAGTATATGACTACCCAAAAGATATTAAAGCATTTTATATGAGGCTCAATGATGATGGGAAAACTGTTGCTGCAATGGATGTGCTCGTACCAAAGGTAGGATTCTGATCTTTGCTATATTATTGTTTGCTTCTCCACCAAGATGAGATTTTCTGCTGGAAAAAAAACTGCTGTCCTATTTTAGTCATTTCTTTCAGGATTATAGTTACTTTATGGGGGTGTTAATCGAGCAAGTTGTTTAGTTTGTTACTCTTGCATTTGAACCAACCGATTATCAATTTTTTCAAGCTTAAAATTTCAAAGGTCATCTTACCACAAAACTAAACTTGAGTTCAAAAATTACAACATCTACTTTTTTGCTATTTGTTTAAATGTTAACTACTGTTTTCATATAGATGTCATTATATGTTGAATAATGTAGTTAAAAAAAAAAACATTTGTTTTGGGCTTGTTCACAAGCTTCTCAAGTTGAGCTTTATTGTGCTCAGCATTAAAAAACTTTGAGTAATTGATCACAACCTAGCTAGGCTCATTACACCCCTAGTCATGTAGCCGCAAGTTAACGATTCATTTGATTTCACAAAAATGCCCTTTATAATAGCTGTCTTCTCCCCATCCTTTCCACTACTTGCGCCGTTTCTTCAGGTTTTAAATTTAGTTTAGTGAAGATAAGCTTAGTACTCAGCAAATTTGTTTTGATGAGTATTAGTGAAGGTTTTATTAGAATATTCTCTATTAGAAATATGCAATTTTAATTATTGAATTTAGGAAGAGAAGATCCTTGTGAATCATTAAAAATCAAATTAATTAGTAAAAATATACCAGTTGAGTAAAAATCAGGTTAAGAGATTGGGCCATGAGGTACTGGGTTATGTTTCAAAATCTATGCAAAATGTATACGAGTATCTATTGGGAAATGTGACAATTTTCCAGACCTCTTTAAACAGTACAAGTGACTATTGATGCTGGGCAAAGTGAGCACTTTGTTTATTGTAAAATTGGTGGTTATATTTGCGGCAGCCAATTCACTCAAAGGCCAGTATATGAGAGCAATATATGTTATTATGGGTTTTAAGATGTTTATTATCTGTTGGTTTGTATTTTTCAGGTTGGTGAGCTGGTTGGAGGAAGCCAGAGAGAGGAACGTTATGATGTTCTTTGTAAGAGGTAGGATTTTTTTTTTTTTTATTTTATTTTTATTTTTATAATATGGGTTTGTGCTGTTAATTTTGGAGGACTTTGATCTTGATTATCCTCATGCTTTTGGTTTGATTTTGGCCTTAAATGGTCAAGGCTAGAAAGAAAAACTATTAGATCCTCAAAAATGCTCCATTTCATGCAGGATTGTTGATATGGGATTGCCATTGGAGACATACGAGTGGTACCTTGACCTCAGGCGATATGGCACAGTAAAACATTGTGGATTTGGTTTGGGATTTGAGAGGTTGATTCTTTTTGCCACTGGCATTGATAACATCAGAGATGTCATTCCTTTCCCGCGTTACCCAGGGAGGGCAGATTTATAGGCAGACTGATCACACTTTTGTTAGTACTTACATTTGCCTGTTTACCAAAATGGCTTACAATTGTGATTTTTTTTTTTTTTTTTTTTATTTATCCTTGCTTAATTACAAGGAAAAATAGAAAAGCAGAACTCCTTGATCTATGTTAATGAGATTTGTGATGATGATCTTGAAGTTGATCTTCTGTATTTTTTTTCTCTTCATATATCTACAATTTTGGAATTTTCTCTCTTTTCCTTATTGCTTGTTTCATAAGCCCTTTTGCACAATTTTAAATACTACACAGATATGAGGATCAATGTCTTCAACTTCATTAAAAAAAAAAAAAAAAACGTAATTCTGCACATTGATCTTGTTATCACAAGTACTCCCTCCGCCCGCAATTATCTGCAACATTTACCTAAAATGGGTGCTTTATATTATTTGCAACAAATTTTTTTCTTTCCTTTTTGGGTAGTATTTAACTATTAATTATCCACTTTTTTGCTTAGTGGTCCCCTCCACCACCTATTACCCACTAAGTAAAACTCACTCAAAACAAAATTAAGTGGGACCGCTCCTTTTCCTTCCATTTTCAACCTTAATTAAACCCATCAAAACTCAATTAAAACTCCCCTAAAAGTTTTGCCTAGGACTCCGAAATATTGTCCTTTGTTGCAGATGACCTCGGGCGGAGAGAGTATTATAATTTATTTAACGGATGCCAGTTTGTTAATTGAAGGAGGTTGGGCTGAGAGGGCTCTACTCTATCCATTTCAGAGGCAAACTATCAGTTATTCTGTAATACAACAAAAGTATATCTGATCATTGCTTTGACTCAGGTTAAGAATCTTTCACGATTGTTGAGGCAGCAACTAAGATTAAGTACTCGCAAAATACAAAGCGATAATGACTGACGTACCCTCACCAACGATTGTTGATCAAACACAATACAAAGTGGAGAGATTTGCATCCTGGCTATGAACTCGAATTTGAAAAGAGTGATGTTTTATTTGAGTACAAGGGTAGTGATAAGTGATAAAGTGAAGCTGAAAGCAACCTTGTGGACAAACATTATCATAAATTCATAATATCGGTGTATCACAATCGAAGAGAAGTGAAAAAGATGGGCAACACAAACCAAAGAATTTTGCATGGAAACAAACAACTGATAAAAGAAGAAGCTCCACTAAGATTTATATTTACTGTAGGTATTGTATTAATTGTAAAAGGATATATCCTTTCCTCCATTTGTTGATCAGGAAAAAGAGTAATTACGGTAATTATAGACTTATAGTAGGTTAAATAATTGGCTCAAGCTCAATACAACATGAGAGACACGCCAGTGGGTCATGGATTACGTATGAACATCATTATCAAAATTAGGCACGATCCAAAATGAACACGAATTATGAGTCTTGACCAATTTACAAAAACATACAAACATATTATTATTATTATCATGGGGGCTCTCGAACACATGTGGGTCAAGCCATGCACAACTTTGTTTGGCAAAGATAGACACTAGTTAGACGTATTAGGCCCATCGTGACTTTTTCTTGGCGTTCTAGGCACGTCTCACTTTAGCATGAGCCACACCGACATAACATGTGGTCTTTCACCATCCGACTCGTGCCTAACTTTGGTTAGACCTACTCTTTGATTCTCCCCCTCCTCTCAAATAAGTTGTCTACTGTGGCACAAAACTATCTGAATGTTTGAAGATTCAATTCGCATCCAATCCGATAATTTAGAATATCAAATCCAAAATTTTAGGATATCAAATACCTATTCAAATATCCATTTTTGAATTTTTGATATTCAAAATATATGCAAAATATTTCGAATTTCTGATTTTGAATAAGGGATATCCAACCCCTATATACAAAAATTTAGGTGTTATTTACATTTTTTTTAAAGAAAATTCAAAAAAATTTCAAATATCAGATACTCGTAATAACAGTGGCGTCACCAGGATTTTCGAAGTGTGGGTTCGAAACTTCCGAAATTTGAAATCATAATTAACAAAGGAATAAAAATACAATAATTAAATATTCAGTACATAAATAATTTCAAACTATGGATTACAAATAGATTACACATAGAAAAATGAAAAAAAAAAAAAAAGACTACAGAAGCATTCTTCGAGTCTTCATACTTTGGAAGCGTTCCAATACATCATCATCACTAACTCTTGAAAATAAATCTCTTTCAAGAAAAGTGACTAAATTATCATTCAATAGTTGATCACCCATACTATTTCGCAACTTATTTTTTACGTATGTCATTGAGGAAAACACTCGTTCCACGCTTGCAGTTGCAACCGGAAGGATCAATGCTAGTCTTATAAGCAAGTAAACTAAGTTGTAAGTAGTATGCTTATTTGTTTCAACAAGCATCATAGAAAGCTCATGAATACCCTTCAAGTCTCCAAACCTTGCATCTTGGCGCACATCATTAATATAAAATTGAAGCTCATGACGAAGTGCAGTCATCGTCATATCATTAGTTGGAAACTCTTTGGGATATAACTCAGCAAGTCTCAACAACTTTTGCATATCAAATGCCGCAAATGAATTGATCGGGTTTAAGCATGACACACAAATAAGTAACTCCATATTTTCTTCATCAAATCTACTATTGAGCTCTTGGAGTTGTAAATCAATAACACTTATAAACATTTCTACCCGAAATCGATGAAGATTTGAAACTTTGGCAAAGAAGCGTCTTGACCTTCCACGAGGAACATACATATCATCCATAGTAGGAACTTCTACATCATGTTTAACACAAAAACAAACCACAAGATGTAAAAAGTCTTCCCACCCATGGTCCCTCATTTGTTGTAATCCCTCCTTAGTCAATTTAACATATGTCATGGCCTTAACAATATCTTGGTCCCCCTTTTGCAGAGCTTGACACAATTTATCAGTAATCCCAAATATTTCGGACATCAAATGTATCATAAATACAAATTCAAATGATTCAAATGTAGACATGACAGTGATAGCCTTCACGCGATCATCCTTATAAATCTTATTTGATCCAATCTTCTCAAGAACTTTAACAATAGTAGCATACAATGCGGTAACATTTGAAACAGTTTTGTAATGTGATCCCCACCTAGTATCACCAGGCCTACCTAAGCCATGTTCTTGGTTTAAACCTTGCCCACTTTCAATTTCTCCTAGTTCTAATGCTTGTAGAATATGTTGAGATTGTATTTCTCTTATCATTTCCCTTCGCTTACAAGAAACACCAATAATATTCAACAAAATAGCAAGTTGATCAAACAACCAAATACAATCATCATTATCCTTAGCAACAGCAACAAGGGTTAATTGAAGTTGGTGAGCAAAACAATGAATATAATAGGCTTGTTTTGTTTCATTCATGATCAAAGTCTTGAGACCATTTATCTCCCCCCTCATATTACTAGCACCGTCATAACCTTGTCCACGAACTCTAGACAAACTCAATGAATATTCCATAAGCAAAGACTCAATTGCACTCTTTAGTGACAAAGCAGTAGTATCCTTAACATGTACAATTCCAAGAAACCTCTCATTTATCTTCCCTTTATTATTGACATAACGCAAGCAAAGGGCCATTTGTTCCTTTTGAGATACATCACTAGATTCATCAGCCAGTATTCCAAAATAGTCATCCCCAATATCATCAATAAGAAGTCTAGTGGTTTCTTTGGCACAACAATTAATAAGTTCTTTTTGAATTAAAGGACTAGTCATTCGATTATTTCCCGGGGCATTACCTAGAACAACCTTTGCTACCTCACTATTATTTTCTGAAAACCATGTTAAGAGTGCAAGAAAATTACCCCTATTCCAAGATTCTTCACTTTCATTATGCCCACGACAAGCTAAACCTTGATTTAAAAGAAATCTAATACATTTCAATGAATAAGTCAAGCGAGATTTGTATTGTAGTTTAGCTTCCTTAGAATAAGTGCAAAGAGATTCAGCAACTGATGTCTTTGGGTTGATAAACATACTATATTTCTCATTAGCCTGATTATGGAAACTACCAATACCACCCACATGAACATCAAATCTACCAGTCTTATTCCATCCTCTAAATCCCCCTTTAATAAAGGAATCATTAACAGCCAAAGAATAATCAACTTTATCAGTGAACAAATAGCACACAAAACAAAAAGCCGCATCTTTCTCAACACTATATTCAAGCCACTCATATTTATCAAACCAAGTAACATTAAAACGGCGCATACCTCCAACTTTTCTTTGAGGAAAATTATGTGTGCGTGGATCACAACGTTTCTTTGTAATATAGCCTCTCCTTACGGCATCTCGATCATTAGGAGGATACTCCATAACTGGAATTCTTTTTCCAGGGTCATGTGGAAGAAGATCAACATCATAAATGCGAGTATCATCGGAGTCAACAGTAGTATTAGTGTTCTCAGGTGGTGGAATTGTTGCAGCAATAGGAACCTCATCATCATTAGGAGACACATGTTCTTCTATTGGAGGATCCCTTGAACTAGGTGAAGAACAAGTTGAAGACTTTTGTGACTTCCCGGCACGTTTCCAAAATGACTCTAAACTCATGGTATAATAGGTATATGCTGCTAGTCTGCTGCACACACATGATAAATGCAGAATGAAATCAATGAAATAATGAATGAATGATATATCTAGAAGGCTAATTAAAACTATCGTAATTAAAGATTACAGTCAATTACTCAATTAGTAAACGAAATCTAGACGGCATAAAACGAAATAGCAAATGAAATTATGAAAACTAGAAGGCAGAAACGAAATACAGAAAATAGCATATGAATTGGCAGAAACGAAAGGCAGAAAATAGCATAGCATATGAAAATCAGAAAATAGCATACGAAATACAAAAAAATCCCCAAATTGAGAACTTGAGAAGTAAATTAGATAATTATAACCAATTAACCAAACTTCAACAATTTACAAAAAATTGGCAATTCGTAAATCGTAATGTATATTAGCAATTGAATTTAGCATATGAATTTCAATTTTCAAGTATTCAATGCTTTAGCAAAAAAAATCCCCAAATTGAGAAGTAAATTACATTTGCAAAAAAAAAAAAAAATCAGAAAATAGCCTTACCCCTACATACACCGATACACCATACAGGCATACACGGCTGTGACTCTGTGAGGCTGGGACGCTGGGTCTGGGTGAGTGGCTGGTGCGCTGCCGGCCTGCCGCTGCCGCCGTGTTCTGCTGACTCTGCTAGTCTGCTGCCGTGCTGCGCCGGGAAGAGAAGGAGGAAGAACGGGAAGAGAAGGACTGAAGGAGGAAGAACGGGAAGAGATTAAGAGAAGGAGGATTGGAGGAAG